TGATCCTTTAAAGAAGAAAAACCAGTAGCTGTCCAAAAACAGCAGAAAGACAAAATCCCACCCAGTCCTAACACTCCATTTTTGGCAGACAAAATAGAACTCTCTCCATGCTCTCAGCCTTAACTGATTAATGCTCCTTTCTCCGTTACAGATCTCCATCATGGATTTCCCCTTTTAAAGGAGAAAAATGTGGGAAACCACAGGTTTCCCCTTGCAGGCTGATAGTCTTCCAGCCTGTAAGGAGCTGCTGGGGGGAGTTAGGGGACAGCAATTGGAGGCAGGGGGCACCATATGCGTGTGCATGCACATACACACATGGCTGGCATACAGCCAGACAGGGTAAAGAGCAGCCCCAGCAGCCTAATACAGGTAAGTCTATTGGGAGGGGAGTGTTGGAGGGCCAGGGCTTGGGAACTGTCCATTCTCTGTGCATGCGCGCGCGCGCATGTGTGTGTGTGTGTGTGTGTGTGTATGTGTGGGTAGAGAAGGGGTAGTACCTGCCAGCACTAGAGGAAGGTGTCTGGACACCAGGGCTGTGGTAAGGCAGGAGGTGTTTGAGACAGTGCTTGGTGCCACCAGTAAGCCCAGCTCTGTGCTGTTGCCAGCAGGGCCTGCCCAGAGGTGCCTGCCCCTCCAGCAGAAGTGGGGATGGTACTTCAGGGCCAGCAGGGAGCTGTGTTGTCAGGCCAGAGACCAATGCTCGTGCTCTCAAGGGTAGAGCTGGGGCAGCCAGGAGGGGCTGCCCAAGGGGGAGACCATGGCCAGGCCACCTGGTGCATTGGGGGACCCCCCCAGCCTGAGGCAGAGGGCACCACAGGCATCCCCTCCTCCTCCCTCTCCCTCCAGCCCATACCAGGGCCGGACTCACTCCAGTGCTGCCCACACAAGCCAGAACCACCGCAGCTGCTGCACTCTGGCCAGGTGGGACAAAGGCTGCCTGGAGCCCCTTGCCCTCCTCCTGCTGCCTGCAGCATGGTCCGGGCCTGAGTTGCACTCTGCTTTATGCTGCTGCTGTAGAGAGTGGTGCTGGTCCTCCCTGCTGCACCACGCCACAGCACCAGTCCCAGTCCCAGCGGGCAGCCTGTGCTTCTGCATGAGGTGTGCTGTATGCATCTCATGCTAGAGGCCGTCCCTGCTGTGTCCCTGCAGACAACCATCATATGAGTCCATGCAGGGCCAGGTGGGGTAGGGGGCAGGGGGTTGCAGGTCAGGAGTGAGGGGCACTGGCGTGGCCGAGGGGAGTTGGGGACTGAGTCGGGAGTAAGGGGCACTTGCAGAACTGGGGGTACTGGCTTGGGAATGAGGGTCAACAGCATAGGTAGGAGCAGGGCACCAGCATATCAGGGCTGCTCAGTACCATAAAACAGCTGGGGGAACAGCTGCTGCTGGACCCGCATCCTAGTAAGCAAAGAGGGCAGGGGGAGCTCTGATTTTCCATGATAAAATAAACCAAAATCAAATGCCAAAATATACACATATTTAGGATTGTATTTTATTATCGAGGCACTGGTAGGCTTCCAAACTGTTTTAAAATAGTGAATATATCAATAAAACATTGTGTTCAACTGATACCTATATATATGCTGTTTCATCTTAATTGCAGAAAAAATGTGGATTTGGGGGGTTTTAATCAGAGAATTTTAGAATTGTTTTAATCAGAATTCTGGATTTTTTTAACAGAGAAAACCGGGATCCCTGTATGATGACTGTATTGTGTGTGCCCACTCAGTTGAAAAGCTCCAGGTCACTCTTGATTGCTTCTGCAAGGCATATGAAATTCTTGGACTTGCTGTCAAGATATTTTACCAACCCACCCTGAACCAACCAGCTGTTCCTCCCCTTATTACAATAAGAGGGCAACCTGTACAGCATTTTTCCTAACTGGGTAGCCACTATCCCCCAAAATAAGCATATATAATGATATTCAACACAATACAAACAGCCAGTGTTGCTTTTGGGCATCTCTGAAATCATGGCTTTGAAAATGACATCAGGATCCAAACCAAGCTTCTTGTCTACCAGGCCATTGTCCTCTCTACCCTACTGAATGGATGTGAAATTTCAATGACATATTGAGAACAGCTGAAAGCTTTGGAACATTACCATCAATGATGTCTGTAGAAAATCGTCCACATCAATTGGAAGGGCAAGCAGAAGAATGAACACCAGCATTCTGGTTCAAGTAAACACCACCAGCATTGAAGCCCTGTTTATATGGCACCAGCTCCATACCTGGGAGACTCAAGCATGGAATCATCCTCTATGGCACTATGATGTATGACAAGGCATCAATTATTTTGAGCACACTCACCTCACTATGGAGGTGTATAGATGAG